ACCGATTGTAAATCTCACGCTTCGGCGCCATTTGGACGACCCATTCGCGGACAGTCATGCCTCGGGTGTCCTCCAGATTCTCAATACTCTCGATCATCTCTTCGGCCTCTCCCTCACCAAACAGTTCAGCCCTTCGCTGTTGCGCCCGAAGCTGTCGGCGCCGTACGTGCGGCCGATCATCGCTGCCCTCTTCGCTGTCGTCATACATATCGAGACCCCTTCGCATACGACCCGCGAGACGGCCCTCAGCGCGATCTCTGGCCCTCATCTCTGCCTCAGCGGTGATGCGTTCGCCGAGCGATAGCTCCGACACACCGACCGAGTCGTCCAACATTTCCGTCTCGTAGACGTCGAGCTCCGGTCGCGGCCTATAATCGCGTTCAAAGTTATCGCCGAACAGCTCTTCGCCGCTCTCGTCATCGGAGAGGTTGTGATCGCGGAGTCGACCGTCTCTTATGGCGGGCCTATTCTGTTGGCCACTGGCCTGAGGGCTGGCGGCGGACTCGTCATCAGTGATCATATTGTCGTCGGCGATGTCCTCCTCCTCCTGGAAGGGAACGCCCGGCGAAGACACCGGACTATTGATGTCATCCTCTCGACTGTCACTTGACTACAGTGTCCAAAACGGATCACATGTGCGGTCACAACAAAAACCAATTCATTAATTGTCTGTTAATTCATATCATTTAATAGATATAAAACTTACGGCCATTTGATTATTGATTGGGAATTGAAATTACTATAAATTATAATACAATTAAAAAATCTAATGTTTTTTGTGTCAAAAAACTTATGATTTGTTTTTGTGAAGACTTTTAACGATTAAAAGTCCGTCTCTTTTGTCAGCAAAAAAGTTTTGGCGCTTAAAGTCTCTGATTATTAAAACTTGTCATCAATTATACATTTGGGGCGCAAATTGTTTGCCATTTATTTTGCTTATATTTGTACAAAAGGGGGCAATAAGTCACACATTTATTGAACGTTTTATATGAATATAAATTAAAAGTCTTTGTGGGTATTATTGTAGACGAAAAGCGTTGATAATATGCGAAATAATCAATAAAATACGCGCACAGACTGTACGGCATAACTGTTATACTGCACTACCTGTACATTGGCTGACGTCACGCTATGCGTGAAAACGTTTGTTGTTTTGATTGAGTGTTGACTTGATTTGTGTCACGTGTTTGAGATAATTAGTGGTTGAGTTGATTGTGGACTACAAGACAATTGACAATTTGTACAATTGTAGCGGAAGTGTTGACAAGTGGTGATCATGTCGTATATGCTGCAACACCTGCACAATGGCTGGCAAGTGGATCAGGCGATCCTGTCTGAAGAGGACCGAGTGGTGGTGATCCGGTTCGGCCACGACTGGGACCCGACGTGTATGAAAATGGACGAAGTGTTGTACGGCATCGCAGAGAAGGTGAAGAACTACGGAGTGATCTATTTGGTGGACATCACGGAAGTGCCCGACTTCAACAAGATGTACGAGTTGTACGATCCGTGTACTGTCATGTTCTTCTTCCGCAACAAACACATTATGATCGATTTGGGCACCGGAAACAACAACAAGATCAATTGGGCCCTCGAAGACAAGCAGGAGATGATCGACATCTTGGAGACCATCTATAGGGGCGCCCGGAAAGGCAGGGGTCTCGTCGTCTCTCCCAAAGACTACTCCACTAAATATCGCTATTAAGACACCTTTTGGTCACATATTTGTCCGTTCATTCATTTGTCATTATTTTATCACTTTATTTAAATAGCAAATAAATTATACCAATTGTTGTGTTATTAATACATTATCTTCAAAACAATCACTCATTTTGATAAACAATTAGACAAATAGTTAAGTGTTTTATATTTTGAAAATAAAAGATTTATTTTAATGATCAGAAGGTTTGAATGAATACACAATGGGTTTAAAACCAAAATATAACTGTAAATCATATGAAAAATGCCATAAAGTAGTGGTTTATGTGGTTTCCATGCTCTCAGTGGGGGAGACCTTATCGCCGGCCACACCATTACCGTTGAGTTCGTTAAACATAAAGTGTTGTTCGTATTGTTTGAGAAACTCTTCACTTC